ATAATAACTAAAACATAAACGGCACATTGATCCTCCTTTTCAGGAGTTGATCAAAAGCCGCATTTATCTTTCTTTCGTATTTTTAGCTTTTATATTCTCTATTAAAATCTGCATGAATTCAAAAAGAAATCGAATTCTAATTGAAAAAAAAATATCTTAATTTAACCTTTTCTAAAAATACTTGGTCGATATAAATACATCGATGAGTGTATTCAATAATAAGCATACTTAGATTTTATTAGAAATTCTTAAATTTTATTTGAAAAACTTTAAGTAATTTTAAATTGAATATGAACATGATATATTTCTTTAACGACTAAGATATAATACTAAAAAGAGAGTATCTATTTAAAACTATGATTGAATAATTAACTGTTTAAAATATTGAATATATTCGCATTAATTGTGAGTAAAATAAACACATATTTTAAATGATATTTTCTGTATCAATAAATTTGAAAAGAAGCTCTTCATAACTTTACAACCATAAAAAGCACAATATCACCTTACACATTATGACTCAATAATTAAATTGTATAAAGCAGATTGTGTCATACATGTTTTTTATCGCTTCATGATACCTACTGTTCCTATTCTTAATGTAGATTGTTTCTCTATACGTATTAATAACATGCTGCTGATATTTCAATTACAAGTCAAAGTTTCTTTGACCTATATCATTCTCATCGTATAATAAAACAAAGACGTTTCATTCTCTATCACACTAAAATATTAATATTTTGTTATACATGCAACAAAATAGGACTCGATATTATTTCAACATTTCAATTAAAATCGACTTATAACATCTTCTAACGAAATTGATTAAGTAGATTTAAATATCGCATAATCAATAAAAAATACAATTGATTATCTCTCATATCTATCAGAATACTAATATAATAATTCATATAATAATAATCATCATCTCCATTACACAAAAATAAAATATGAAAGATTGGTAATTATACAAATACTGAGATCATTTATATACTAACTCAATCGATTAATTTAAATATCGTATCAAAACTGAATTTCAATGCAACATTACATGTACATATACATATATATATATGTTCGACATAAGAAAAAAAAAGAGGTCGCCCCTGGTAACTAACAGACAAACTTAACTCCATCAATAAGAAGTATATAAGTATATCACGTACAGACATATATAAATAAAATTAATATCATAAAAATTCATCTTGATGCAATAGATCACGAAATAATATTTGTAATCATATTATGTTATAAAATATATATAAATTATTTAGTCTATCAATGAGTAAATATGATTCAATCTTATTCTCTATATCTAAATACATACTTAACAAATTATTTCTATTTAGTATTTAAATAGTATTTCTTATCGAAAAATTATTTGATCTAATAATAATTAAATACAAACAAGCTTTTTTTTCTATATCTGAATGAATTTATATTTTTAAATGAAAATATTATACGGATGTAGTCAAATTTAATACTTCCTCTTTTCTTTTCATATGATTTGATATCGTTTGATATATACCTATATAAGTATATATTCTAGAAGTTATTTTTATATTAAATTTATAAATTTGAAATAATCTTACATTAACTGATACAGTATTTATTCAATCTAACAATGATCACATAAAATTCAGTTTTTGTTCTACATTTGAACTATTATTTTTTGATTAGTTAAACGATTAAAACACAAGTTTTATTTATCAAATATAATTATACAGAAGACTGATAAATCTAAAGTATTCCATTTAGGTAAACTTCAAGATTACCAGAAGAAATCCAATGAATATATGAATAAAACAGCAGCATATACATGCTTAGGTGCAAATGATCCAACAGCTGATTTAATTGATCGTACAAATAAATATCTATTAGATCTACGATTAGCTCATTGGATTACTCAAAAACAGTATGAACAATTGTCAATTAAACCAAATGAAGTGAAATTAGCACACTTATATTATTTACCAAAAGCACATAAACCTGGCACTCCACTGCGTCCAATTATATCCGGATTAAAACACCCGACTATTAAAATTTCAAGACTCCTCGATAAAATGCTTCGACCATTATTTGATCGACTAGCACGTGATACAACAATTACTTCAGGATCTGAATTGGTTAAAAATTTATATAATTGGTCAAAAACTAATCTACGTCAAGATACTTTATTCTGTACATTAGATGTAGTTGATTTATATACAGTGATACCACAAACTGATGGAATATTAGCAATCAGAAGAATGCTAGATTATCTTAATGTTAAACAAGTCGATGGTTTAAAAATTGAAACAATTATTAGATTAGGCCGATTTGTAATGCAAAACAATTATTTCCAGTACAATAATCAATTCTATCATCAAGTACGTGGTGGTGCAATGGGTTCACCATTAACGTTGACTATGGCTAACTGTTACATGTATTTTTTCGAACAAAAAATAGTGAAACAGATACAAAACAGTGGTGGTCTCTATGTTCGTTATATTGATGACATTTTCATATCTATAAATTGGCCACAACAGCATCTGACAAAACAGATTAATAGATGGAATGAATGCGATATAAATATAAAATTAAGTGCACAAATGAGTTCAACGATTAATTTTCTCGATCTCGATATAGCAATTAATGATAATCAACTGCATACAAAAGTATATCATAAGCCGTCTTATAATTTGTATTTTTTACCTTATAATAGTGTACACCCATTGCACATGAAGAAGAATGTTCCATATGCCATGTTGTATCGAACCATACAATACTGCTCAACGTTCGACACATTCATAACTGAACGTGAATATATACGAACTGCTCTTCTTCTTAACAAATATCCAACACATTTCATCGATAGAGAATTTACTCGATTACTTAAGAAATTCAATGTTCAACATCCTCTTACTCGGTATAATTATAATGAAATACGACAAGGTATTATTGATTCACCAGTAAAAGAAAAAATAACATTCGACTATGGACAAACAATGTTCGTTCACTTCACATATTGTGAGAATATGAAAACATTTCCAGGAAAATTCCATAATATATGGAATAAGTACTTTGGTGAATCGCCTATCAATGATATTAAACCGATATTAGGAACTAGAAATGCCAATAATTTACAACTACAATTAGTAAAAAACAAATGATCATTCAATCAATATTAACATAATATTTAAAATTTCCATTTTATTAATTAATTATTGAATCTATTAAAGTTTAATGCTCCTGATTATTAAGATTATTATTTTTTACCTTTAATTATTGAATTATTGATCAATCTTAGAACAATCATGTCGTATTAATTAATTATTATTTACAAAGATAATTGAGTGGTAACATCTATAAAAGATAACTTCCGATATATTCGGAACGATATCGATTAGATAATGGCACTCATAATGATTTTTGAATTTTAATTAATTTATTTATTTTATAACAATTATATTGCACTAATTGCTATTCACAATTATGTCTGAATGGTAGAATCTATAAATGATAACTTCCGATATATTCGGAATGATATCGATTAGATTCTATCATTCATAATTTTTATTGATTTATTTATTTATTTATTTACCATTAGATTGCTGGTAATATAACAATGAAGGTGCAATAATTAGATTTATTTAATTATCCAATATAGAGCAATATTTAGGTGTGTCAACAACAACAAGGTTTCTTGATTACCAATTGTTCTTTTTTAATAAGGTTTTTAATAAGGTTTCTGATTACTAATTGTTCTTTTTAATCAGCTTTACATTCTTTATTGTTTCTTTATTTTTTATTTTTCAAGTAACTGATTGTGCTTCCAATCTTTATTTTTTCTCTTTTAACTTTCCCTTTTTTTGTACGTGGTGGTCGTTAGAATATCTCTAATTATTTAATTTTGTTTTTTACGTTCTTTATAATGCACAGCCCTGATGAGTATTTCTATATTAATAAATAACACGAAATGCGTCGGAATATTAAACTGTGCATTTTTTAATTTCAATTATTATATTATTTTTTAATTCAATAACAACACAATCGATTGCTGAAAAGCAAAAGTTGAGAACAGCAGATTGTATTTGTCTTTCTTCACGATAGATAGGTCAGTCTGTTTTTTATTTGTCTTGGAAAATAATCTTTGAATAGATTTGGTGAAAAATAGAT